CAAGTCCTTGGCCTTGGCCTTGGCCTCGGAGGCAAGTCCTTGGCCTTGGCCTTGGCCTCGGGTTGCCGGTCCTTGGACACAACACTGTTGATTACATACGGGTAGAATGCGTTGCTTTTGTGCTCTGTTGTACTTCCGTCATCTTTACTTTCTCTCTCTCATCCTTTTACGGTGTGATAGACCACAGCGTTGATTTGTCTGGAGAAGTATATACCACGGCTTTTCGATATGTCACAAACAAGGCGGGGAAAAGGAAGTCCACTTTACGAATGTGCATGTTTTATTTCCGTATTATTCCGTATCGTATTGCACGGCCGCAGAAACTGCTATGTGAACGCATGTGGGGCTGCACCGGGGTTAACTTGCTTCTCTTTCGTAAGCAGCTTTTTTCCGTGTGAACGCTCCACAAAATTTACCCCGGTGTAGGATAAATTTAAATAATAAAATATGTCAGTGCAGCACCGATGCAAATGTGTGCTGTGTGAACACCCCTAATGTGTGCGTGAAGGTGTCTATGAATGGTTGTATGTCCATATGTGTCCTGTGATTGGCTGGGGAGCAGTCAAAGGTGTTCCCCGACCCTGTCTCTAAAGTCAGCTGGGACTGGCGCCATCTCATCTGCGACCCCAGCAAGGCTAAGATGAACAAAAAATTGATGGATAGTCTTTGTTTTGTTTAGTTAAAATACTTTTATTTTGTGAACTCTGTCTTTTTATTCCCATTGATCATTATTAACTTTAAATATGAATACTGAAGGATGGAATTATTGACATAAAATAATAATGTCGTGTGAATGCTTGTTTGTGTCTATGTACCCAATTTGCTCTGAACCACCAGGGTGTACCTTGCCACTCGCTGAAAGTTGGCTGGGATAGGACCTAGGAGCAGCAACATGCAAACGACCGGTTTCACTGCCCCCGAAGAAAGTTTTGTTAACTGTAGGGGGGGGGGGGGGGGGGATCAAGCATTTTCGAAGACGATGGTTGTGTCCAAATTCAGAGGCCTGATCTTGCGAAGGTTGCATTTTTGGCTGCAT